ATAGAAGATCTAGATTGCTAACGCATACCTAGCGCAGGCGGGGCCTACATGATAAATCCAAGATGGCGGTACAAGAGGGCAAAAAGACTATAGATTCTATTACGAAAATCAATATTTTTGCATTTTTTGCCGTCGCATTGTTTTGAAACTTATTCGGTCAAATTTTATGGTAAAGAGAAACGTACCGCGAAGATTTTGAGCATATATATGATTGAATTGGATGAAAACTCGCAAAATTATCCAGCGATAAAAGTTCTTGTGAAATGGTCAGTTGGTCAGTTGGAACGTTTTATTGCCAGAAATACTGTGCTATGTTAACATCTAGTCTTGTGAATGGTGTTTTATACTTGCATCTTTCATCATCATCTGCTCTGTCCTCATAATTATGAAAAATGAACTGTTATGTACCCCCCCCCCCGCCCCCCCTCCTTGCTTGTTAGAGAAGTAAACTGATGAGAGCACTGGATAAGGGTCTATCATCTATGGTCTGTTATAATTTGCTTTCTATGCAAATAGTGAGCAAAAATTAAAGCGAAACTGTACAAGTTACATATATAGTACTATATCAGTACTATACACGAACTTTTATCGCTGGATAATTTTGCGAGTTTTCATCCAATTCAATCATAAATATGCTCAAAATCTTCGCGGTAAGTTTCTCTTTACCATACAATTTGACCGAATAAGTTTCAAAACAATGCGACGGCAAAAAATGCAAAAATATTGATTTTCGTAATAGAATCTATAGTCTTTTTGCCCTCTTGTACCGCCATCTTGGATTTATCATGTAGGCCCCGCCTGCGCTAGGTATGCGTTAGCAATCTAGATCTCCTATATCTATGGTCAGGGCCGTAGCAACCGGGGGGCTGGGGGGGCTGCAGCCCCCCCCCCAATAATTTGCTAATAATCATTCTTTTTTCAAAATCATGCAAACTTTATCATTTAATCTGTGACAAACTGCAAAGAATGAAGATATTACTCATACTCCAGATCGTTCCTCGCCCTGAAATTTTAGCTGAATTTCTGTCGCGCATTTTCAAGAAAATCCCACAAAATCTGCACATTTTTGATGAACTAATGATTAGATTTTGTCTTTTGCGTGTTGGGTCTTGCGAAAGAAAACTCTGAAAATGCCATTTCAGACCATCTAGAGACTCCAGATTTTCGAAATTTTCTCAAATATTCTGCCTTCATTTCCGCGCAACTGCCATTTACGACGAAAATTCCCGCCGCGCATTTATAATACTACAGTCTGGCCCATACTTTCCCGTAAATTTCGACATACTAAAACGCTGTTTTCTGACTATCAGAATTCTGTTAAATCTTCCCCCAAAGTCCAGGAAATGGCATTTTAGAGACTCTAAATTTAAAAATTTCCTCGGGCCTTCGGCCCTCGCTTTCAGCCCCCCCCAATCGAAAAGAGCTTCCTACGGCCCTGTGTGTAGAAATTAATCTTCCATATAACAAATCGTTCTTGGTTAGTACATGGTACAGACCGCCAAATGCAAGTATAAACGTATTTGAAGATTACACTAAATTTGTTGAAAAATGTGATTATGAAAATAAGCAGTTGATTGTTCTGGGAGATATGAACTGTGACTATTTTAAAAATCCATCTGAATCACATACTCAAAGACTAAAATTTATATCATCTACATATCAGTTGCAACAACTGAACATATCAGTTGCAACAACTGATTTCGGAGCCTACACGAATGACAAACAGATCAGCTACTTTAATAGACTTGATATTCACAAATGAGACAAGAAACATAGCAAAATCAGGAGTTACTTATAATGGTATGTCTGACCATAGTTTAATCTACGTTGTCCGCAGATTTATCCCATATAAGCGTAGACAAATCAAAAAAGAAGTACGAAACTTAAAACACTTTGTGAAGGAAAATTTCATTTGTGATCTGCTTAATATACCTTGGCAAACAATAGAAACTATTAATGATCCTAATTTGGCCTGGAAGGCGTGGGACAATAATTTTAATTAACGAGGTTTTAGATAGGCATGCGCCTCTGAGACTTCAGCGTATACGGCATACCGCAATTCCATGGCTAAGTTCGAACATTAAAAGAAATGATGCGTAATCAGTCGTGATTATCATAAAAAAAACAATCAATTAAATATGGCTCTGAATACCACTGGGGACTTTATCAGGCCTCTAGGAACAGAGTCAATATTGAAATTCGGAAAAGTAAATCTCGTTATTACTGCCAAAAAATTGGCGAATGTAATAAGAACGATCCAAAAACTACTTGGAAACTAATTAATTCTCTTATTGGTCGTGCCAGTAAAACAAAACATGTTAATAAAATTGAAATTGACGATAAAATTATTCGCAACGATGAAAATATAGTCCGTGAAGCTTTTAATGAATTCTTTATTAATATTGGGCCTAAACTAGCTTCTGAAGTTAATTTCAAATCAGTCAACAAATAAGGTTGAAACTTATCTGGAAAACAACAAGTTAATTATTCCATCCTTTCGTTTTATGTTTATTCCAGTGGATAATGTTTTGAAAACTCTAAGACATCTAAATGTTTCGAAAGGTCTTGATAAAATTCCGGCTAGAATGCTACGCATTGCTGCAGATATAATTGCACCCTCTTTAACTTATATTTTTAATCTATCACTTTCAACTGGAGTGTTTGTAGAAAATTGGAAATATGCGAAAGTTCTACCGATTTATAAGGAAGGCAACAAACGAACTTTGGGAAATTATAGACCAATATCAATTCTACCGATAATAAGTAAGGTCTTCGAATAAGAAATCTTTACACAACTTTACAAACATTTAAACGAAAATTGCCTTATATCCAAATTCCATTATATCCAAATTCCAATCCGGATTTCGACGAGGGCACTCTACAATTACAGCTCTAATTCAAATGTGTGATAACTGGTACGAAAATGTGGATAATGGCAAGTTAACAGGGGTAGTTTTCCTTGATATCAGAAAAGCTTTTGATTCAATAGATCATGTTATACTACTTGAAAAACTAGCTTTCTATGGCGTTTCTCAACTTGAACTTGCATGGTTTAAATCCTACCTCTCAAATCGGCAACAACAGTGTAAAGTAAATGGCTGCCTCTCTAATAAAGGTGAAATAATTTGCGGGGTTCCACAAGGTTCCATACTTGGCCCGTTGTTGTTCCTAATTTATATCAACGATTTACCCAACTGTCTAAAGACAACAACACCCTGTCTATACGCTGATGATACCCAAATTTTCGCCTCTTCGTACGACTCTGTTGCGCTGGCTAATGATATAAACTCTGATTTTAATTAGAAAATGTCACAGATTGGTTAAATGTAAATAAACTCCAATCCCATCCTTCTAAGGCTAAGGCTTATTGTCATAGGATCTAAACAAAATTTGACCAACAAAGTTGGTGAATTGTACAACAGCATTATCATGAACAATAACGTAATTTCACCTGTTGTCTCGAATAAATGTTTGGGAGTTGATCTTGATGACAGATTGACTTTTGATATCAATATTCAAGAAATATGCAAGAAGATCTGTTCAGGCATAGGAGCATTGAGGAGAATTAAGCCATTCGTTCCGCAGACCTCTCTTGTTCGTTCCGCAGACCTCTCTTGTTACATTATACAAATCATTAATCCAACCATATTTTGATTATCGCTCTCCCCTGTGGGATACATGCGATAAAATATTAAAAGATAAATTGCAAATACTACAAAATCGTGCGACTAGAGTTATCACTGGAGCAAGATATGACTGATGAGATTAGATCAAGTGATCTTTTGGAAGGTTTAGGATGGGATAATCTACATGTTAGGCGGGCTAAGTTGAAGAGTATCCTAATGTATAAAATCCTTAATGAAAATTGTTTGCCATGTTTAAGAGAAAGCCTTGTAAGTCTTAGTGAACTTAATAGACGCCATAATTTACGAAATCAGGAAACGGATCTAGCACTTCCAAAACCAAAAACTAATTTTTTGAAGAGAAGCTTTAAATATAGCGCATCAATGCCGTGGAATAATCTTCCATTAGATGCAAAAAGAGCGACTTCGCTCAGTCAATTTAAGCGTAGTATTGCGGATCTGCCCTTTTAGAACCATGTTGATTTAATTATAGATTTATAGTTAGCTCTCTTTATTTACTTTACTTCACTTTATTTTTCTCAGTTTGTTGTTGGGGGGGAGGTTGGGGGGTTCATATAATATTCCATATATTCTACTGTTTTATATATCACGCCCCTCCTGTAAATCAGCTTTTAGTTGTGCGAGGCTAGCGTGTTTTGATTTTAAATAAAATTGATTGATGATGATGATGATGAGCTTGTCTATAAATTTGGAAATATTTCTTCAGAGATCTTGTCTGGATCGACAACAGACGTGTAGAAATACACAAACTAAAACAGCGGGTTAAATGTTAACCCAGGAGTAGCGCTAACCCCAGTGGCGTAACGCTCGAGCTCATTGGGTAGGGCATAGACAATCCAGAAGACAGGGACTGGAAACGCCTAATGTTTTGCGCGTGCCATCCGTGATGTGCTTGCGTGACGCTTGTGCCAATCATGCCATGTGAGTGAATTACTGAATGGCGCCTGTTGCTTCGAAAAAGAATAAAGCGATAGATTGTGGAACTTGTCTGCTGTTTTACAGCTCTTTATATACTTATGTCTTCTGGATTGTCTATGGGTAGGGTTAGTTCAAAAACTAAGGGCCCCCGATAGTTAGGGGCCCCATCAGGCACGGCCTATCGCCCAGAAAATTAGAAAATGTAAAAAATATATGGTCGTTAGAATCAATGGGAAAATGCGAAATTAATGCTAAATAATAAAATGTCCATCGACAACGGTAGCGGACTTTTTATTCCATTTCAACAATAAAACAAAATTTATTCTTATTAGTTGTTCCATGTGTTGGAGACTGTTATTGTTGTTGTTATAGACACGGAATTTTCCAGAACATTCTATAAATATTCAATATAAATATATTATATCAGTCGGACAATGACAACATTCCAACAGGGGCCCCCACACCAAATATGCCTAAGGGCCCCCTCTTCCTCCGTTACGCCACTGGCTAACCCACCTTTGAACAACTGGCCCATGGGATAAATTCCAAAGCTCAGTGGATAAATTCCACAGCCCGCGTACTTCGAAGCACCCGATCGCAGGCAAACATGTTTTTCCGTTTTTGTTTCCCAGAAAATTCGATGACGGTCTGAAGCACTCGCAAATGTGCTGCATTTTGAAAGTGAAAAAGTAACATAGAAGATATATTGTTAAATTGGCTTTCATTTCCAACTATTTTCCGCGAATTTGCACACAAAAGTAGAGAATCAGCCATATATCATGGATTGCGAAACGTTCGGATCGAATGCTAATCACGCAGAAAGAATGAATTCAGATTCATCGAACACTAGCTCGACCTCGCGAGAAGGAAATGTGTTTCCCTCCGTTGTTAGAACTAAAGATTCGCCTTTTGGAAAGGTAAATTATTAGTACTCAATTTTAGAATTTCATCAACAATAATCTGATTGCGTATAAGCAACATACATAAAATTTTATGAGTTTGCCAGTTCATGAATAACTTGAATGTTTTTAATATTGCGTTTGTCCGCTTGTTTGTTACAGTAGTAAAAATTCCTTGCACGTGCTCGAAATTTATTCATTTTTGCGGGAAAATTAATCTTGTACTCTCACGACCGACTGTTTGCTGAGCATAAATCTCTGGTTTTATGCGCCAAACAAGCCAAATTAGGACAAAAATCCCACTGTTCGAATCAGCGTATTTAACCTTTGTATTTATTAAACCAATTAACCTCGGACTCTGCCTTATCTCTGGTTTTATGCGCCCAATTAATAAGGACAAAAATACCGCCGTTGGATTCAGCGTAAGAAATTGTACTTACGGATGTCAAATGTATTACTAAACAACAGTATTCTAGCGATTTATGGCCTTAATGAAAGTCAAGCGAAATTGTATTGTTGACAAATCGCTCAAAATTAATATTAAACTAATTAAAAATGCAGTCCATTTGATCCTTCATAACTTCGGTATTGTTGGTTTTCTCGTTTTCGGCCGTCTACCAGTATATTCGTCTCACTTTTCTCTTCGTTTTGATAGTATTTTGAGCCCCAAAAATCTTATTTTGAAGGCTTTAAAACGCAGTTTTGATCCTAAAGTACGGACCAACTGCCGGCCGACAGGAGAATGTAGGTGAAGGCTATTTCAGATACGGTAGAGCACCTGGTCCCCAGGCCTTTACCGGCGCGGCCGCGAAATTCAACATGGCGCCAAACTAAGGAGTGGAGTTTAAATGGAGTTTATATTCTATATTTTCTATTGTTGTTTTTTGATCTTTTTATTCTTTTTGGTTGGTAGAACTTATATTCTGAAATGCCAGGTATCTTATTCTTTATCTGATTAATCTGAAAAAAGATTTTATGACAGAATTTTTCTCAAACATAGTTATAAAAGACTAAAAGTAAAAAGTTAATGAATATTTAAATAATATCTATATGTTTCAGTGAATTATGCTCTAAAAGTAAAAAATAGATTAGCCAAGATAAAAAATTTTTGACACATACCACACATGAAGTGAAACACAAGACATACCATTGACTTTTGTTAATTATAGTTTCAACTTCAATTTTGAAAATTGTAATAACAGCCTAGTTTATATTCCATAATCCACAGAACTTGAACATCCATGCGGAAAGTACAAATTATTGACTTTTCGAGTGAAGTTCTGTTTGAATTTTTCAGATACTAAGTTATCTTCTTATGTCTAGCCTGGCACAGACCGTTCAAGATTGCACTGTTTAATTAGCACCAACACTATTAAACAGTCATGGTGGCGGGATGGATCCAGCATGATCTGGTAGGCGGGTGGTGGTTTTGATCTGCCAGCTCTAATGCCAAGTTATGTTGGTCATGTACGCCACCTGCCCATCAACTTATAAGTCAAGCAGGGCCATAGCTAACATGCATAGTTGGGGGGGGGGGAGTGTAGGCCAAAAATTTCCGAATGACGAAAAAAGGAAGTTTTGACAGAATTCTGATGGTCAGAAAACAGCGTTTTGGTATGTCCAAATTTACAATTTGCTTACAATTTATAGTAGTACCAAATGGGCGAAGGCGTATTTAATTAACATATATTTCGGGGAAGTTGCAGGAAAGTATGGGTAATATGATTCTTTGCAGTTTGTCATGGATAATGTAGCGGCTTAAAATTAAATTGTCAGTATTTTAAAGGTATATTATTTAAATGATAAAGGTCTGCATGATTTTGAAAAAAGAATGATTATTAGCAAATTATTGGGAGGGCTGCAGCCAGCCCGGCCCTCCCCCCGGTTGTTACGGCCCTAAGAAATAATAAACCGAAAAAAAATTTACCGATTTACGATTTGTTAAATGTTATCCATGTAAATGCCATGATTTCGTAAATCAGTTTATACTCACAATACAATTATATTATATTTTCTCTGTTTAACAACTAACTGAATTTTGTTATACTATTATTGCCGTAATTTTCCGAATGGCCAACCCGATTTTCCAAATATGTAAATTCTACAAAAGTTGGGGGGGGGGTTAACCACCTCCCCAATACCCCCCCCCTCGCTATGGCCCTGAAGTCAAGTCTTGCTTGACTACTGTATTTGAATTGTAATTGTTGTTCATAGTTTGCTTATTATCATGTTATCACTCAAATCACTGTATCTCATTTTGTCTCTAATATTTTTTTGCTTTATCATGAAAAATAGCACCCCCCTGGCCAGGGCTAGGGGGTGCACCCCCCAGTAAATCCATCCCAGCATACAGTTGGGTTTATAGGGGGAGGGGACGGGGTTGACAGAGGTACACTCCTGGCCAACAGGGGAGTGTAAAAATCGAAGGGGGGGGGGGCGCTACAAATTGAATTTCCCATACCTCTGAGCATTTGAGATATTGTACAGTATATAATTAGTATTACAAATATATTGTCGCCATGTAACCTTAGGTATTTCATGTGGTATGTGTAATTGGGGTTTACCCTAAGTATCTTACTCCTCAAGCAATGCCGGGTTCAGAGTCCTCACCTGTTCGCCTAGCATGCCCCCAAAACAACCTGAGTGGCTGAATCTATCATTGCTAAAAAGATTATGATTATAATAAACAATATACAATTTTAATGCAAAATTGTGTGCCAACATACAAAATGGACTCTGCACAGGTTGTGCACTGAGTACCTTTTCATTTCATACTGGGTGAACATTATTGTGAGGATAGCAAAAAAAACAAATTCACAACTAATGTGTCCTCTTTTACTACTTTCCTAATTGTCTTGTTTCATGAACTAAATAAGCTAACACACTTAGTAGCTCATGCTTACCTTTTAACTGGCACAAGCAAGGGCCGGCCCATTTTTCTTTATAGTGATGTCAGGTGTGCAAGTTATTCAATAGGGTATTTATAACCTTGTATACATGAGGGCCTTATATCTGGGCAGGATGTTACAAGGTCATCGGAAGTAAATCAATATTGGGGGGACTCAAGAATATATCTGAACAAATTTTAATTGATTTTGCACTTTTCTAGTTATATTGTGTGTTTTGCTTATACAAATGGAAATTATAGGGGGGGGGGGGGGGCAAGCCCCCCGTTTCCGACGGCCTAGCTTGTGTTACATGTGACATTGCCAGCTGCCATTAATAGTTTGCAAAATTGTGAAAAATAAATCAATGCTGTAGATTGCAAGTGGTAGTGCACTTTCTCCATTGGCATTATAGACATAATACACACAAAATTCCAAAAGACCAATTAACTTGGTAATCCCAAGTATTCCATCAGAAATCAGTCAGATGCAATTGTACCCACCCTCTGGTCGACCCTTGCCACTAGACGTTTCTGTATCTTTGCCCTGCATATCATGGTTTATGAACTCAACATTTTATGATTGAATTAGCTCTTCTACAATGATATTTTATGCTCAAGTAAATAGACAGTAGTACAGCAAGCTGGCTGGAATATGGTCAGAGGTTCACTCCTCAGTGGCACAACTCTTGAGGGCTGTGCCCGGCAAGAGCCTGAGGGAGCCAGGGGGTTGGCCTTGTTAAGGAAGGTCCCTGGGCTAACCTTTATGCAGTGTTTGGAAATTTTAATTTAAATAATTAATTTAAGTAATAAATTAAATTAATAATTAATTAATTAATTAATAATAATAATTATAAACAAATTAATAGTAAATAATAATTAATAATTATTAATTAATATTTAATTATTTATTTAATTAATTAATATTTTTAAAAAAAATTTTAGCTTAAAAGCTGACTCCCTGTACACACTCTGAACAGTACGGCAAGGGGGCCCTTGACGGGGTGCACTGAGACTTCATCCTATCCATCATTAAGGCTCTGGGAAATGAGTACCCCATATGCCCCTAGTATCTAATAGAGTGTGAATTTCAAGTTGTGAAATAAATGGAAAGTCCTATTTTTGCAGGGTATATCCTTGACCCCAAAAATAGATTGATGATGTGATCAGTTTTAACTTAATTAGGTTCAAAAGAAATTTTCCCTGACAAATTCTTGTTAAAACACGCTTAAAACCCTTTTTTTGCACCAATATCTGCAAGATTTAGGTTTAGGAAATTTTTTCTCACACCATTACTTATATAAAAAGCGTTCCAAATTATTTTTTTTATTTTTCAAATTTGGGGGCCACCCTTACACTGGGGGCTCGGGGCAAATTGCCTCCTCTGCCCCTCCCCCTGATAGTAAACTTATAACAACAACTCAACTTATAATTTTCCCTATTGAAAAGTCTCTGCACAAATTTTTTTTTCAAACTTTTGGTGCACAAGTTTTTTTTTCTGTTCAATTTTTATTTTTGCTTCCCTCCCCCCCCCCCATCACTTTTCTAATGGTCCACCCCTTAGTCCATTACACCCTACTGTTAATGACAAACATGAGATTGATCATAAAGTTTGCCTCCACTATGTGTTCTTTTATGTCTTGTTGAAGTACTTGAATATCTGAATTCTTTACAGATATGATATTCATATAAGGTTTTACTCTATTATGTGTGTTTTTGTGACAGTGACTAAATTGTGTGATGTTGAATAATGTTTGTTACACATCTTAGCAAGCCTCATATACAGGATGTGCTTGTCTGTATCATGATATGTTGCAGTGTACGTTGTTTAAACAAATTTGGCCATGTTAATTGGTATGTTTGCCAGAATCATAATATTTTTTCACTGCAACATGACATGCTCACATTCATAAGGTAATTGTGAGTGTGGTGGTGAAAATGCAAGCAATATTGTTCCACTATTCAGTTATAGCACTTTATTTTTTATAATTTATATCAATTATATGATAAAATATCGTACTTCTGGCAGTTTAACTTTTTAAAACTGCTAATACTCAGTCTATTAGAATGCTGTCAATGCACTAGCTGTCACCACATTGGCATGTATTATCCTGCTTAAATAATATCATCTTCATCAAGCCAAGTAATTATTTAACCATAGCTTGCCAGCTTGAGTAAAATAGTCTAAATTGATTTCATTGTTAAATGAACAATTCAGTCACAACCATCAC